TACATATTCCTGTTGGTCGTGGATCTGTTTCAACCTAGTAGGTTGGCAACTGTTTGGATGTAGTATTGGGGGTCGGGTGGACGTGTCTCCAAGTCCAATTGAGGATGCCTGCGGAGACGAAGAAATTCTGGGAATTTTATGGTTCCTCAGGCTTGATTAAACATACACACATGTCTTTGTATGTTTGTTTAATGCATATGCACACACATACACTGGGATTTATGCTTCTCCAGTCAGCTGGACGGGCTAGGCTTTTCCAATTTGTTGTTTTTCCTCTGCAACGCGGCTACTCTCTCATTTATCGGGGGGTGGGGGGGTGGGGGGTAAGTCATACAGGCGGAAGTCTAATAACTTCTGGAATACGATCTCGGATAGAGCATTTTCATCGTTTCCTCGATAGGTCTAAGCAACATATGTGTGTGTTTGCCGGTCTCTTCTCCATGTTCATCCCGTGACCCTGACCGGTTGGCACACTCGTAAACACACAACTGTGTGTTGCGCGAGTGCATGCGCATATGCGTAGTCGCCCGAAGAAACGCATGCCAAAGTGTATGCGTGCAAATGGTTGTTCCGAATGTCGTCAGTTGTTCACTCATCTTTAATTGCAAAGTTGGTTGGGGCGCTTGCGGGATTGTGGCCAGCCGTGATTCCCCGGCTCAGCCGCTCAACTTTCGGCGCCTCAAACCGGTGTCCTATTGGTTCCGGATTATGTTGCGTTGCACCGTTTTCTGTCCGGTTGCTGGCCGAAACTCCGCATACGGCGCATCCTTCCCCAGAAGGAACCTTTTGGCGCACCGCAACCTGTCCGCATCCGCTGAGACCAAAGTGAAAAGTTAGTTGGAAGCAATTCGTGAAATGGTCCGACCGGAAACTGAACTAGAATTGCCGCAGAGTAAAGGTTGTTGGATCCTGCAAAGCCGATGAACATGTGCTAACCTTTCATCGGTAGCCTGACAGATATCTTCAGAGCCAGAATAAATACTTTATGAAACAGCACAAAAGCATACTTGACCAAGAGAACGTGGTCGGCTGCTGACCCGAACACTTTTTTATACACTTATCCTTGCGACATTAATGAGACATCTCATAAGTTGGTTCTTCTTCTCTTTCATAAAGTATGGTTTCTTGCTCTGGTAATTACTGTCACAGTACACACTTTCAGCACAGGTTCATCGGTGAGT